CTATAGCTAACATAACTGTACCTAAGACAACCAAATTCCACTGAAATCCGCACCCCTTTACTTAAGTGCAGCCATAAAACTTCTTGTCTCTAAGCACTGTAAGTGAACTTTCCCTGTGCATTTACTTGTGTTTTGATGGAGAACTTTATCTGACATCTGCTATCGCTGGCCTTGGCATACAGGTTTATGTCAGTTACCCTTTCCTCATACCAAAAGAAAGAGTCAGGGACTGGAATGGTGCTGCATCCTCCTCCCCCTCCCTAAAGTTTCTTAAAACATGCAGTGGCTTTTATTTTTGAGCTACCTGCTGTGAGCAAAGCTAGTCTAGATACTACCAGCTTTTCATTATTAAAACAAGATTGCGGTAGCTAAATATTCAGTTCTCAGTTAAAAGTGTATCCTTTTCTCGTTTATCAGATGTGCTAACATAAAAACATCCAGATCACTGCAGAGGGCAAAAGCAGTATTACTGAGAAGGAAAGCAGACCCTCTCTTCCAAATAAGAATTTTCTAGACAGCCATGTTTTGGAGATGAAAAGTACAAAGCATTTATTGGCCTGTGATGCACAAGCTAGTCTTTTCTAAAGAGGAAATGTGCATGCTGTGCAAGTTTCTAGCATGCTTTCATAGCATATGGAGTTCTGGTATTTCACAGGGTTTCCGTTTCAGATAGTTTAGGTGAAGATTTTTTTCCCTTTTTTTTTTAAAAGTTAGGTTTACTTACATATACTTAATGCTGGTGATCAAGTATGGATTATTTCTTGCATATCCTAGGTGCCATCATTGCTGTTACTTTTTGACAACTGTATAAACAGAGATATTCTGCTTAGAGCCCTGGCGTTTGCAGCAAACTTGAAAAAGAACATGAACAATGAAGACAGCACCATGATTCAGGAGCAATACAGCGAAGATTCAGTTTTCTTCACACTCTGCAGAGACCCCACCCCGTTCGCTCAGAGACTGGCATCTTTGTTGCATCACCCCGATACAGAAGTGAAAGAGCAAGTTGTGAGAATATTAACACAATAGTGGTGTTTTGGTTTTGTTTTTTTTTAAAAAAAAAAAAACAGACCTGATGAAAATATCTAATCTTAGGAATGTTATGCTAAAAAAAAAAATCCCCAACAAGCAAACAATAAAACAACCCAAAAAGTACTGAATACTACCATAGTACTAGGCACAAATCAGTTACTACAAAAGAGAATGCAATGTCTTTAATATAGAGAGCATAACAGATATTTTTTTTTTTTTTTACAGGCAAGATAAAAGCAATAGCTTAATTAGTACTAAGAAACCACTGTACAGCTGGTGTATGGACTCTAAGTGGGAGGAATAGTTTGAAACATGAAAACTTTCATATGTACAGTGAATGTTTTAAATAAATTAATAAAGTGAATCAAAATACTCTTCTCAATGTCAAAGAATTTTTGTTGCCTTAAATATTTACAGCTGTTGAATAAATACCTCTATAGAATGGTGCATTAAAGATTTAACAGTTGGAGGTTAGGCATTGACATTTTATTAATCTGATATCTACTAAATGGGTACAGGCAGATCTTAGAAAATATTAAGTAAAAACAATACCAAAATATCATTGGCTTCCTACAAAATCAGTATTTTCAATTAAAACTACATATTAAAGTTACCCAGCCTACGTTTTTTCACCTTACCTGCACAGAATATATTATAGAACTTACATTCTCACATGCTTAGGATATCCATTCCATTTAGCCAAACTGCAGAACAGTTAACCACAACCATGCAAGGTTTCTACACTTGAAAAATATTGAAAGGATTTTATTTTGCTTTAAAATTGTCACTTTAAGGAAAGCATACATATTTTTAAAAATATTTTGAGTCAAAAATTATCTGCAACTGCAATTCAACATTCTCATCTTTATAAAAATGTCTACAAGAGCAGTATCATACATGTTTTTACAAAAGCTTCCTGTTCTGCAGCAGCCCTCGAGCCTGCTTTCCTTGGAGATCTTTACTCCTTTTTCTCTGCAACTGGAACATCATTGGAATAAGTGCTTCTGTTGAGTTAGCCCCCATAAAGTTCTAGTCATCAATCCAGCATTAATTCATAATGAAGTGGAATACATATAAACAGCATCGAAGAACGTGAAGGAAGTTTCACTGATGAACATAAAACATACTAGAAAAGACTTCATACTAAACAGAGACTACTAAAATGTCCTGAACACCACATCATGGAGCAAGTAAAACAAGTGTCAGATTTAAAGGCTAGAAAACAAGTTTTCCACCTTGCACCATTTTTAAGAGAGCTGTATTACCTAAACTGTTGCCAGATGCTTCATCTCTCTAAGTTAATATACCCACTCTGCTCTTAATAAAATACTACTCTTTTTTTCTGTAACCAATAGATATTTGTTTTCAGTAAGTGACTTCGCCAATACCTTAAAAACTGCAAGAAAAGTGTGACCTTGAAAACGCAACATATCTATGCCCTGATCAATACAGGACTAAAGCTATACATATCTAATTTATCTATATAGGTAGTTCTAACTCATCAGGAATACAATTAAGGCAGAAATAGAAGTTGGCATGATTCCCAGTCAGAACCCCGGCAACTGCTGGATTGACAGTGAACTTCCGTTTCTCCTTCCCACTGCTCTGAGAACACACTTCATTTTGTAATAAGTGATTGTAATGTAACTTGCTTAATGTTTTGCCACTTTTTGTAGATTTAATTCTTTTCTGCTTCTATATTTAACAAAGAAAATTAAAGGCTGGGTCAGACACTAAGAATTTACCCATTCTCTTACCCAATCGCACCATTCTCTTCTCACAGGAACTTAGACTAGCCTGTTCTAGGTATATCTGATGTATATGTTTTCTTAAGCTCAGCAACACAGATGTCTAGATGTCCCTCTCCATGTTCTCCAGCCTGAAAGTAAGTTTTTCAAATATATTTTTGATAATTTAGGTTGATCTCTTATCCTTTGCTTTGATAGCTGACAGAAACAAGTGACCATTGTCCCCTTTTCTAAAAATACATGAAAACTTGTTACAGTATTGTCTCAGTCTTTCTGGTCGAGAAAGACCTATTTTTAAATGCTTTCTTCATAGAACAATGGTGTTGAGATGTTTTGAAATCATGCAAGACTCTTCAAAGTGTCCTCATGCAAGCATACCTAATTTTTTTATCCAATACCCCACACCCTAGATGGAATCCTTTTGGCATCAAGCAAAGTGTAACAGTCACCGTTCTACATACAAATGCTGTGAATGAACAGATCCAAAACAAAATGTATGCCATTGCTGACATTTAGTCTCTGATCCTTGAAAGTACTTCTCTGCTATGTGGCTGCTTATCTAGGTAGTCTGTATTTTAGTTTCATTCTTTCTACAGTACAGAATTTTACAGAAGAGTCTATTTAAGATTTTGAAAACTGAAAAAAAAAAAAACCAACCAACTTCAATTTTAACCATGCCCTTCAAAGTACTCAAAACATCCTGCAGCATGCTGTCCTCCACAATATTATGAATGTGTAATATGCATTATATTATCCAAATGATTATTGCAGCTATTGACTAAGTACAAGGCCCAGTAGAGACTTCATCTGAAATACTCTCCCAAAAAATCAGCTGAGTAGTTTTGAACCAGTTTTGAACAAATTCTGGTGAATACATCTAGATGATACTAGAATTACATTTTCAAATAAAGAAATCCTGATGTTTGTCAAATATGAATCCCACCAAAGGAACATAAGCTACTTTTTCTTCCATATAAATGTAATTGTCTGCTCCAGAACCCTTCCTCAGCATGAACTTGGACTAACTGATCATTACCTCCTTGTGCTGTTCTTTGTTGGTATTAAGATCTGTAAGACTTCTAGGACTTCCCAATATAAAAAGATAACTGTCAACACTAAAAGATTACTTCAGTTTGCTCCTAGCATGAAATCTCATTAACTGCTTTTAAGTAGTTGCCAGAAGTTCATGTCTTTAAATTGCAGGGAAATAATGTGTCTTTTTTTAATTTATCGTCATGGAGTCTGAACATAAAATGTAATGCACAGCAAGAGGGGAAAAAAAAAAAAGATACACATACCTCATAATCCCATAGACCAAAACAAATCACAAACAAAAATATGATTTGCCAATGAATTATGAAGAAGGATAACAACCCTTTTTATTGGCAACGATAGGCTTTAATTCTGCAAATTAGCATGGCAATTTGATAGAGATACATTTAGCTAAGTTTTACAATACTGAACAACGTTGTAATCTCTCAACTTTAAAATTATAGGGAAGCTATAAGAAAAAAATACCACAGCCCTTGCTTAGGACTTTTCACTTTAAAAAAAAAAAATACTTAGTAATAGGCTGAGTCAATGCATAGACAAGCGTTATTAAAGGATTCTTCCATTTCATGTACTGCATTTGACAAGAAAGTTATTTTAGACACATTCAGGTCTAACTTAAAAACATTGACAGAACAACAAAAGTGTGCAGATACTCTGGCCAGCAGTAAGTTTTACACATCAATGATGCAATATTAAATTATCACTCTCTAAAAGGCACATTTCTTTAGATCATTGTAAAATTCAGCTTTTGTGGTTTGTCAATATATGAAAATGTAGAAGCATTCAGTAAAATAATTATTTTACTGTGCTTGTGCTTTAACAACACAGCTGTATTGGAAGACTCCACCCCGCAAAACATGCAGTGAAGCTATCAAGGTACAGGGCATAAACCTGAAGATTAATGACTAACAAGTGGGAGATGACATTCGAACAATGACTAATTCAAGTCAGCCATTAATTCTAAGAATATGTCCTGCGCTGAGGTTATTATTGCTGCTGCAGGTAAGATAAAGAGTTTTAAAAAGAACAAAACAAAACAGTAATTTATCAGTGATGTACGTAAGAGTTGAAACTGCAAGTTATTCCCAGACAATACCTTATATATTAACCAGTTTTTAGATCACCTCTCAAAATTTACAAGCACTATATAAACTAGTAAAATTTATCATGAAATCAGTATGCAAGTTTTAGTTCTGAAACCGACAAACCTGGCGTCTAAAAATCCAATTCACTCCAAAAAATCTACTTTGCAAGTACATCATATTAATATTTGTAACATTCATTGCTAGTTCAAATCAAACAAGGCTTACAAGGAACTGCTACTGTTTCATTATTCAAAACCATCATTTGTACTCAAGTCCCGTGATTCTCCATGGTTTAAGACAAAGAAGTCTTCTTTTTTCAAGCCATATCTTTCAAGAGCTTCGTTCAATTTAACAGGAGGATCCAGGTAATACTGGAAAAATAAGAATTATATGAGGGAAAAGATACCATTGCAGCATTTGGGGAAAAAAAAAATATCACTGCTCTAAACAAAAATGGTTTATATTTTAAACATTATCTCAAAAGGGAGGGAATATTTGTAAAATTAAAATTTTTAGTTTCATTTTCAGTTTTTAAGAGCTAAGAATGCTGATTTACAGTTGTAGAGTAACCAGCAAGGCACAACCTATCATCCAAAATTCAGCCTTCTTCCATGTATCGAACTAGACCCCTTAGAAGCAGAAATAGGCGAGCGGAGGCGGCGTTGGCAGCTCAGCAGATGGCGCTTTCTCTCGTTTGGTAAAACTTTGGTGTCGGCTTTACTGTTTAAAAACTAGAGCCATTTCAGTGACGTCCCCCTGAAGTTACTTCGTTCTATTTGTTACATTTCAGAAAAGGCATCATCAGGGAGAAATCATCGATTCTTTGGTGCTTTAAAATACACAGTAGCATTTTTACCACTGGCACTAGTGACACAGCTTATTGGAAGCATCATGGATAGAAAATGTTACACCTAAGTTAAAGAAAACACGACATAACTGGTGAACATAGATAACAGCATCAGACTGAATTATAAGATAAAGTGGTGCAACTGATGCAAAGACAAAGTTGAAAAACAGCTACCAGACAAGGTGTATCAAAGTACATGTAGATGCTTCCTTTTCGCTGCATTTTTGGTCACTGTGAAGGTACCTGGGTAACCTTCGTATTAGAGGGGACTTGGGAGGGGGGGGGAGGATACAGACAGAAAACCAAAAAATATCAGCAACTCAGAATAACTCAGCTTTTCATATTTTTGCTGGTATTTAACTATGAATCAACTATTAAAAAATACTATTCCATTTTTTTACTAGACAGATGTGATTAATAAATACTGCACTGACAGGCATGCAATTCTTACTGTCTCCAAGTGATGCACTGCTGAGTTTACTTTCATTATTGCATCGTGTCCCCACCTTTCATGTTCCTCAGCTTTCGGGTATCACACATCCTCCACATTTGTTTCAATAACTGTGTACTTTCAAATTAATCTAAACCATGGAAATATTTTATGTAATTTGTTATGAAGAGCTAAGCATTGTTTTGAACAGCAATACATATACTAACAACTTTTCACTCATACGAAGTTTACATTTTAAGTACACATTTACAGATACATAGGTTAAACGGCATGAGCAAAGCTTCATTAACGACTGTGTACTCAGGAAATCTGAACTCATGTGTAGTGTTGAAATTTACCTCATTCGCTAAAGCAAAGGTCCCCCAATGAATTGCTACAGACTTCTTTGCTTGAACATCAATATGGATTCTTACTGCTTCTTCAGGATCCACATGCTGGTATTTCATAAACCACCTACCAAAACACAAAGTAAATTTTTTTGTGTCACCTAATTCAGTGCAAGATTTCTTCTTTACTTTCATTGGGTAAGTTGCAAAGAATCTAAAAAAAAAAAACCAAAACAAAAAAAAACCAACAACAAACCACACACCCACCAAAACGCTTACCTAATAAAAACTTATGGAACATGTATGTCTGAACAACATACAGAAAATCAGCAAGCTGGAATATACCAACACACCCATGAAACAGCAGTTCATGTATTTCATTACTCCTTTAAAATTGATTTTGATTTTTTTCTTATCTATATTTTTAATAGCATAAGGACTTATTAGTGGTGCCTTGAGGCATTAAGGCCATAGATTTAAATCCATCCCTGAAAAAATTTCATGCTAGCAGCATGAAAAGTATGTGCTTCAGAAGATAGCCTAGGGGAACAGTGGTAAAGCAGAAGAGAGAACCTGGCAATTCTTGAAAGATACCGGATTTTTACCATGTTATTCAGATTCCTATCTTCCTTTCCCAGCCTATACATGCTTTGCTTCCAGCATTATATGAGCATTATCATCTAAAAGTTTAGATACCCCATCATAAGTAGCATACAGATCCATAAACAAACACATCTTTCACACTCTACAAAGGAGTCATCTTTATCTTCAGATAAGTTGCAAAAACAGCATAAAGACTGAAGCAAGAGAAAAACGCAGCAAATTGCATGCATTTAAATGGGTTGGATGAAGTGACGCTATTTCAGAAAAAAAAAACACAAAGTAATTCCAGATATTTACTCAACATTTTTCATGGAGGAAAGTCAGCTGATTCATCCTTGCTGTGCTCAGGACTGAAGAAAAAAACTCCGAGAACACACACATATACAGGCAAGCATCCTAGACATTTCAGCTCCATCTTCCAATTGCCTGCTTATTTTGTCATTCAGCAATGTCCTTTTGCCTCAGCAATTTCCTTCTTTTGCCTCTATATTCTATTGTATATTCTTAATAAAGTATACCTACAGTTTTCACTTCTGTATATCTTTTTGTCATCAGTATATAATGTCATTTATTTATTTTGATCAAACTTTGATTTTCATACCTTGGCTCATAAGCTCCAATGGGGATGGCTGCAAGATCAAAAGGTCCAAACCTTTTACCTATCTGTTCAAAAGCAACACAATATCCAGTATCTCCTGAAAAGAAAAACCTATTCCAAGGTCCCAAGACAGACCAGCTGCCCCAAAGAACCTTGTTATCATCTGTCGCAGTCCTTTTGCACCAATGTTGAGAAGGGGTGAAGACAAAAGTTACTGCATCATGACCAGGGACGCAGTTCTCTTCCCACCAGTCCAGTTCAATCACATTCTCGCAACCACATCGCTGCATCCAGTCCAGGAGCCCCAGAGGCACAAACCAGCGAAGCTCGCTCCCGAAGCGTTCATTTAAACTTCTTACAGTGTTGTAGTCCAAATGATCATAATGGGTGTGGCTGATCATGACTGCATCTATTTTGGGGAGCTGCTCTACTGTGCACGGAGGTCCTCGGAAGCGCTTGGGACCCACCAGCTGAGTAGGGGAAGCTCGCTGGCTGAAGATTGGGTCAGTAAGAAATACAAGTTCATCCATTTCCACCATAACTGATGCATGTCCCAACCAGGTGACTCGCATACCAGTTCCTGTCTTCCCAGCAAGTTCCGGCTTTTGAATAAAGTAAGGTTTTAACACTGGAAGCTCTTTATCGAGTTCCTAGCAAAAAAAAGAACACACAGGCATGAGAGATTTCAGAATGTACTTGGCCGTGGAACAAGAACTGCATACAAGGCACATACCATTACAGTAAAGACTCGTGCCTTGTTTATATTTTTAGGCAGAGAACTGCAACACAAAACAGATGCCTTTTTAATGACCATTTTCCAGCTACTTCCTCCTAATTTGATCTAAGATTTTGTAACATTTTCACTTCTCTGTCAAGAGAGAGAAGTGAGAGCTTTAGAGTATCCCATCAGACCAGGAGACCTACTAATAGAGAGTCTGAAAGCATCACAGTGAAAGCATCACAAGGCACTAACAGCATCCTGGGAAAGGCTTTGTAATCGATTGGCCTTCCCCGACCTGGAAAAGAATATTTTTTTATT